TTGAGTAGCATCTTTGCTTTGACCGTTTTTGCATACTCACAAACCAGTCAGCACACACTCCCTACTCTGAGCCCTTAAAAAGCCCTAGGCTCAGCCATATTGAGAACTTTCCTGCTTTTGGGTAGGGGGACCATCCCAGTCCCCTTCTTGCTAAAAGCTGTTTCATCACTCAATAAAATTTCTTGCCTTGCTCACTCTTAGAGTACCCATGTGCCTACTTCTTCCTGGTCATGAGACAAGAACCCAGACTTAGCTGAGCTAAGGAGCAAGAAATCCTGCATCAATATGACGTTATCATTGCACTGGATGTTAACAGGTAGTATGAGTTGTTTTTGCTAATTTTAAATGAGTTAGTAAATAAATTTTTAAAAACTCTCAAGTTTAACTTTTAATACAATGAATACATATTGATATTATCTACATGAACAAAAGCCCTTTGGGGTCCTAAATAATGTATGAATTTTAAAGGAATACTGAGACCAAGAAGTTTGAGAATTGTTTTAGAGGCATTACAAAACTTAGGACATTTTTGTGAAATAAATACTGTTATTAGTTTAGCAGATGCATGTTTACAGTTTTTATAGAATTCTTTAAATCTTCTCATACTCAAATCTGGGTAAGAAAGGGAAAAAAACTTAAACTTAAAACTAATCTTCAGTAATATCCTGGATGCTATTATATTTTTCAACTTTTAATGTTTTTACTTGTCCATCATCAGAATAATTTGGGGCCCTGGGTCTATAGTGCAGTCATATACATATATTTTTTTTAATTTTTTTATTTTTATTTTTTTTACCGATTTTATCCAATACAAACCAGATAAACGTTATATTCTTAAAATGGTGAATAAAAGGCTAACAAAACATTTTGCTGACTTTCTTAAATGTTAAATATCAGGCATTTGTGAGAGGGCCCACTAAAAATGTATGTGGTGGAGGAAGATCTGCACGCAGGCGCCTGGGCACACAGTGACTCTGCACTTTCTGGTCCAGCTTCCTGTGGCTGCCTAAGCAGTCCACATCCCCTGGGCATTCTCCCAAGGGTGGGGCAGCAGCCATCACAACCTAATACCACTTTCCTAAGTAGTTTGAAGGAGCAGCAGCAAAGCTCAGGCAGAATGAATTGAGCCTGACCGTCCTCAGATCAGTATCCTGAAGATGTGGCCTGGCTCAGCTCCAGTGCAGACAATGGGAGGGCTTTCAGAAAGCTCATCTTCCCCTCCATATTTAGCAAATGTGTGTTCTCTCAGTCCACTAGGGAATATGCAGCATCAAGCCATATGCAGCATCAAGTCACTGCCTTGGTGTTATCAGATGAGTCAATGAGATGGAAAAGAGGAATCCCGGACTGATTCCTTTCTCTCACCACTGTTTCTGAAGAGTCTTGTTCTAACAAAATCAATAAGACCATCATTCCTTATGTCCCTATGGAACACTGCAGTTTACAAAATACACTCACTTTCATGATCCCTCGAGGACACTGTGAAGTAGACCAGGTAGGTACTGTTATCCTTATTTTAAAGATCAGAAAACTGAGAATCCAAAGCATCGAGCAATTGACTCGAGATCACAGGGAGCATGACCCTCACCAGGCCTGGAGGCCAGCTTGTGTTTTCAGTCCCACATCAGGCCTCTGACTCTGCGGAGGGCACACACAGAACGCTTCCTCATTATACGTGATTATTATTTAACCGCAGGGATGTTTTTGCACAACGCTATTTTAAGGAAAGTAGAGACAAAAAGAAGAAAGTGGAGGTTGAAAGGAAGAGAAAACATATTAGGGGAAATTCTCATTTTTTAATAGAATTCATGAGTACATTGTCAACTCCCAGAGATTTAAAAAAATACTGGATATGCACCAAAATCATCATTGGAAACAGTATGAAAACACCTGTTGACGCCAGTTTTCTTTATGAGTGGCAGTGGTCAAAATGGATCAGGGTACTGCAGAGATCCCAAGTCTGGGAGAAGGGTCCTTCAGCATTCATCAGAGTGCTCTCTGCAAGTCTGTGAATGTGCAGAGGCAGGAGCCTGGGGTCCAGAGCTCCTGCTGAACCCAGAATGGCCTTCAGTAGGATGTGCTAGAGTCTCTTTAGCCATTAATTACTTTTACAGCTGCTGCTCTAAAAACAGAAGGGATAAAAATTGCACTGTTTGTTCCATTGAAAGTTCAAAGAGGAATAGCCAAAAGAAATCTGTGGACTCTGCCTTGCAAATGAATCAAATAAACTTTTCCTTTAATATGTTTCTGCTTTTCTGAAAATCACTTATAAGAGAGGTGCAACAAATAACAAAGTGGGAACATTTTTTAAAAAGTTCAGAACCATGAATGAGATTATAAGTAAAGTACTGATAGCCCAGTGAGTGCGAAGTTAATGAGCCTGTCACCCCTGCATGCTGTCTAGACATGGGTATCTGGGATATTCTTTTTACCCAGGCATGTGACCATGCTTCTGTCTTGGTGGAAGAGAGCTTATAACAGAAATTAAAATAACTTTATTAACAAAATTAAAATATATTCATCTGCACATTATTTTGTGCATTGAGATTTGTATTTGCTACATACATATGGACTTGCACATCTACTCTGAACACCATTACAGCTCTGCACAGTGATCTTCATTAGTTATTTCTACCATAGTTCCCATTCTCTCACTTAGTTTCTGTTTCTTCACTTACCAGCACTAACTTTTTACAGCTGCAGTTTTAAGGCAAATCTCTCATTCTTCCCTCTGAGGGGCATTTATTTGTATAACCATTGCAGCTTCCAATTACTCCACTGAGTAAGTGCCACTTAAGATTCTCATCAGCCTGTTATTACCATTATTCCAATACAGTAGCAACCGTGAATGCCAGATTTGAAGAACATATTTGAAACTAGGAAAAACATAGTGGAAAAAATTAAATGTGATACCTACTCTTTGAGCAATTCCCTTGTGTGTGTTTCTCAAATGAAGAGTTGATTAATGATAATATGAAAAGTACTCACCTGAAGCAAGCATGTCAGTTACCATTTTTTTTGAGATTCTGTCTTTAAATTAATGAGCTCTAGGTACTCTTCTTTCTGATTGACATAGCCCCTTTTTAAAATTTTCCCTCTCTTTAATTGAACATAAAACAATAATTGTTTTTTACAGTCTTTTTATGGAGTGTGCCATAATATGCTGACATTCTGTGCAGAAGTTTATACTTGAAACAATTATATGTTTATATCTTGGATAAAAAATTAAGTTATTGAATAACAGTCAAGATTTTCTAAATCATACCAAATTCTCCTTCACAGGAAACATGTCACATCCATTTTTAGTATACTGTGTGGTAACAGTCTTTGGATCACACGCCACATAAATGGTACCACAGTAGCATTTGTATTTGACAAATAAGTTATAGGTATAAATAAGCCATTATATGAAGGAGAATATCAAACTTTTCTTTACTTCTTTTCCCAAATAGCATATTTTAAGAAATGAATTTAGAATTCATTATCATACCTTTATCAATAATGATGAAGGGTATGGACTCTGGAGGAGAGAATTAGGGGATTAAATATTAGCCTTGTGACTTTTGGTTTGTAGAGAAGAAAAACTTTTCCTATACCCTCTTATCTTCTGTAGTTGGGGCCTGAGAATTAAACTAACAGAAGACAGATTAACAGAAGAAAAGCATGCAAAATTTACTGGATGTTAATCTTTGTACATGTACATGGGCTTTAAATAAACAGAAAGAAACAACCCAAAGAAGTGACTAGACTTGGCCTTATATACCATTTTAACAAAGAGTGATAAATTATGGAGCAGTGACCACACAAAAGAAAGGGACTTGGCTTTCTAGGAGTGGCAAATTGTGGGAAGGTAAATATATGGGGGAAAACAAATGGTAGATAAAGTTTTTGTAGTAAGGTTTGTCTATACAGACTCATTTAGGTGCTGTCTCCATTTCCAGTGGTACAGTTTGTTCTCCCTTTCCTGATATGGAAGATGGGGAAATACTTTCACAAGAAAGCTTTATGCCCTATGTTTAGGCAGATAGTGGAAGGGAAAAGAGTTCTTCTTATGTCTGCTTTTTCTCAATTGCTTTCAACTTAAAATAATTATTATGCCAAAGTGGCATATTTTGGTTTGACATATTCTAATCCCTTTCAGATGTTATGACTGTCAGCAAGTTCTCATACTCCTCCAAGCCTCAGCCTCCTCCTGGGAAAATGAAGACAATAATGGTACCTACTTCTTAGGGTTGTTTTGGGCATTCAATTGATAATACATACGAGCAGCTCAGCACAGAAGTAGGTACATAATAATTGTTCAATAAAGGAGAGCTATCATTCTTATTTTTATCTCCAGAATCCCTTTTTTGCTTTCACTTATACAGATATAGTAGAGAGTACATGCATACCAACATTGCCCATTAATTAACATATATGTATATATAAATATGTATTTAAGAAATTGAGGAATGAGAAAAAACAATATCAGGATCATTTAGTCTTACGCAAAAGTGTTAAGGAGGATTTAAACAGCAATGTTTAAGCTGAAGATAAAAAAAAGAGAGAAGGTTTAAATTAAGGAATAAAAATTTAGGTTAAGATTAAATAATTTATTAAATACAGCTCCTTAGTTATGAGTGTGTGTGTGTAATTAGTTCTGCTCATCATCTGCTCTTAAAACCAGACTTATCGCTTTTACTGTCCACTCCAATCAGCCACCATGTCATGCTGATATTAACTGGCTCATGCCCATCACTTCCTTTTAGTTCCCAGTGTTACCTCCTAGGCTGAGTTTTCATCTTATTAAACCTAGATTAATGTAATTCCTCCTAAATAGTCTCTTAATCTTTTAATATCTTCCTTATTCTATTCAATCCTGTGTTCTGCCAGCCAATTACTATTCCTCAAAAACCACTCTGTTTAATCTCTCTGATTTCCGACTGCCTACACAGTAAGATTCTAATTCTTTGGTTTAGCTTTCAAGATTCTATTCAATCCAGCTTTAACCTACCTTTTATGTTCCATTCTTCTCCCCTCCCCATCCACTCTAGTTAGAGGGAAGTGGTCTAGAATGGGAATAAGGACGCAGACTCCAGAGCAGGTTGCCTGCATGAACTCCAGGTCCCAATCAGCCAGTTCTAAACTAAAAGTTCAGATATTCTGAACTGTGGAACAAACATGACATGGGCCTGCTGAGGTAGAAATGTGGACTTTTGGGATGTGAGACCGAAATAACTCATAGATCAGGGTCCTTCCTAAATCTACAGAGTGGCAACAAACCTAATTCACTTATTAAAATAATCATTGAGATGGAAATTGCAAATGTTCTGACTCTGGAGAGATAGAGGATGACTGGCAGGCAAAGGAGAAATCTCAGGCTTCAGTAATGAGAGTTTTTCATGAGTCACTTAGTCAAACTCATGAGATCTGGAGAGTCTATGGGGAAGGGGTTCAGGGATAGAGAAAGCCAGAGACGATGAGGTTGGGAGAGTAAGCTTCTCTTACCATTGTTCTGCATTCTCCCTACTCCCATACTCTTCCAGTGGGGCAAAGTGCCCCAAAGTGTAAATCAGTGTGTCCCAAGGGGTCTGGAGTTTAGGTTCCTGCACATGGCAGAGGGCCTTGCTAAACTGGCGAGTATCAGAGTTGGGTGGGTGCTAGTGTCACAGGTGTGACAAGTCATCCAGGTTGGATTTGGGCATCAGCCAGAGGACATGGAGGAAAACAGAGAGTTTGAATAGGTTCCCACACCTGTGGGAGATCAGTTCCCCACTATTTCCTTGAAGCCCAAGATGTCATTAATTCCTAGCATTTCTTGGCTCCAAAGCAATTTGCTCATGCATTGGCTTTGGGAATGGTGTTTGGACTGACTATCACCTACCCAGAATCTTCCATATTTCCTGGATGATATTTATCCTTGTGTTTTTATGTCACCAAATGCTCTTTGGAATAATAATTGTGACATTTTTTGACCCCTGCTATTTTCTAGGGCCTTTAAAATCTTTATATTCACCATTAGGCTTGTTTTATTAATATAGAAACTAAGGCCTATATAGGTTAAGTGGTACAGCCAGGACCCTAACCCAAGTCTGTTTGTGTCCAGAACACAAATTACTGTAGCTTTCTTCATAAAAATCTGTAAATTTCTTATCTCTCTCTCTTTCTCTTTTAACCCACAGGTTTGACCTTTCTCTTATCCCCAACAAAGTTCTGAATGTGGGTTCTGACTCTGAGCAAAAGGCATACTTCATGAAGTTTCCTGCTGCCCTTTCACTACACAGTTGGACTTGGAGGCAAACTTGGATGATAAAAATACAGTTCCCATGCTATCCCTTATAAAGATTTAAGAGAAAGTATAGAAAGAAAGGCAAAGCTAATTACTCAGTATGCATCTGCTAGTTTTAATGCAATAAAAGAAAGAGTCAGTCCCATAATATAGCAAAGGTTACATTTGGAAGTTAAATGCAAGATATTAGAAA